GGGCGGTTCCCGGTGGAATTTTTTGATGAAATTTTTTGAGCATCTTCTTCATTAAGTCTAGTTTACCCATACAAAATTTCAGCTACAAATTCAACCGAGAAGGCAGTCAAATGATTTTCTGAAATGTACTGCGCTGTTTAACTTCGCAGTTATCTTCAAAAAATCATTTGACTGCCTTCCCGGTTGAATTTTTAGCTGATATTTGGTATGAGTAAACTAGACTTAATGAAGAAAATGCTAAAAAAAATTCATCAAAAAATTTCACCGGGAACCGCCCCAATTGGCGACGGCCGAGCAGAACCTCCTATATAAGGGGCTAATTGAACACTTTAAGTCAGCTCAAGGGCCTATTTGACCCTTTAGGCCATCTCCAACTGTCACGCCCCAGACCGCAATCCAAGCGCGTGTACAACCGCCGTATAATCAAGTGACGTCACCCACGAGTCAACCTCACTTAATTACACAAGGCGTCCTAGAAAACAATCCATCCATGCTCAGTAGTAAACATACATAACAACATCACATTTAAACCAGTGAATAGCGGAAATATTCAACGGTAAGTCTTGAGCCACAACCGGCCAACAATATGGGCGTGCAAGCCCCAAAAATAAATTATAGTAAAACAAATATCCATGAGCAAGTATTCGGTAGTTTGAAAGAAAATAAGGAAGCACGAACCACGTCTTCCTGATTTGATATCACCCGTGAGAAGGTGCAAGTAGCAAGCCCTAGCTTCAACCTGAAAATGGTGGGCCCCCCCGAAGGGGTCAGTTCAAGTACCGAGCGAGTAGCAGGCTAAATATAGAATAACTAGTGTTTCAAGTATAAGACCCAAACATAGGGTGATACTTAAATAAATAGTCTTTCCCCCAAGTTATGAAATACTTATTAGTATATATATACTTGGAAAATATCCGATCCGTAGATCACCATTTTATTTGGGAAAAATAGTAATAGTCAATATTCTTGACTAAAAACCCCAACCCACCCATATACCTATGAGTGTATAGGACTCCTCCTTGTCCCTATTTGTATATCATAATCTATGAGTTTTAGGATCATGATCCTTGGATACTCCACCGGTTTGTGAGTGTTAAGGACTCATAAGTCCTAGGGTCCTCCACCAAGTTTTGAGTGTTAAGTACTTTTAGGTACTAGGGTCCTCCACCAAGTTTGAGTGTTAAGTACTTTTAAGTACTAGGGTCCTCCACCAAGTTTGAGTGTTAAGTACTTTTAAGTACTAGGGTCCTCCACCAAGTTTTGAGTGTTAAGTACTTTTTAAGTACTAGGGCCCTCCACCAAGTTTGAGTGTTAAGGACTTTAAGTCCTAGGGTCCTCCACCAAGTTTTGAGTGTTAAGTACTTTTTAAGTACTAGGGTCCTCCACCAAGTTTGAGTGTTAAGTACTTTTTAAGTACTAGGGTCCTCCACCAAGTTTTCCTATGATCAACCTCCTATCAACCTAGATAGAGTCTATATCATACTTAGTCATTCATAACTAGTTCAATACATAAAACTTATGTATCACAATTCATGCAAATCCATGCAATTATATAAATGTACAATTAACTAATATCAACCGATATTAATTAATCCATTATCCACCGGTCAACGTTGTCGTTGACCGCCATTCAAGCCTTGTACATATCAACTTAATCATCATATAATTAAGTTAATAATAATAATCATTTGTGCTTCTTTTACATTCCCAACAAATATGCATTTCATATTATTTCTCATATCATGTTTCATGTATAAACAATTAATTCCTTTCATACAAACTTATCTATGTTGGCTAACCACATGTTTAAATATCTTTTAAACATCATTATGAACTCATATAACATTTATTTAGGTAATCTTACAATGAACCCAAAAGTTATAAGATATTAAGCCGTCCACTCACCTTGAACTAGCGTTATGAAGTTCTACCCTTCTTGGTTGAACTCCGGTGAAACTCCGGCGACTTTTGGTCAACTCCGGCGACAACTCCGGCGACTTTTCCAACTTTGTGAAATCACTTGAAATACCCTTTACAAGTTCCTAACAAGGTTTTATAATCATAAAACCCATATTAATACAAATAACCTCAAAAAGGTTATTTTCCGGTGAACCGGTCGTTTTGGTTCTAAGACCGTTCTTGGACATAGAATCACTTTCCAACCCATAAATCCATACTTATAACATGTAGAACCCTCTTAAGGATTCTTCACATGATATATATCTCATATGGTAGGAGAAAAATAAAGGAAAAGTTATAATGAGGTCATTACCTTAATTTTACACACTTTTCCTAGCCTTTTTCCTTCTTTAATCCCACTTCTTGGACCTCTATTGCTTGAGCTCGAGTTGCAGCAATGGAGGAGGGTTGGAGAGCTTTTTCTTTCTCTTTCTTGGGTGGCTTGGTCGAGCTAATGGGGTGAGGGGGTGATAGGATGGCCTTTTTGGCTCATCTCACCAATTATGGGGGGAAAGGGTCCCATCCTACCTCATGGTTGACCTTCCTCCCACCTTCCCTTGTCTTTGCAGCCCCCAAGGGTCACCTTTGAGCTGAATAAAACGTGGGATGGCCCCCACTCATGTGGGAGGTCATCCCTTTGTGTCCCGAGGTATACAATCGGTCCCGAAAGTTGTATTTTTCGGACTGTTTTAAATATATTTTATTTTATCGGGTCAAATAAAATATATTATGTGCTCTTACTCATTATGACATGTATAATGAATATACATTCCCCAACTTTAATTTATAAGTCTCCGAAATTCAGTTCGGGCTGTTATCTGTTAAATTACCAGTACCGGTAATTTGGGCTTCGTTTGACCAATCGGTCAACTCCGGGCCTTTCCATGGCCCAAATGAAATATCCACCACTATATATTTATTATCTAGACCAAGATGAATAAAATATATGGTCTCGGGAAAGTCGGGCGGCCCCCGCTCCCGGTGTGGGTCCCACGTGCAATTTACTATTCACGCGAAAGAATAAATAAAAATTTACAACTTCGTAAATTCATAAATCATTCCATAAGGTTTATTACATCATTTACGTAAAAGTAAATACATTTGGGGACGGTGTTACACCAACAGTTAACACCATTTTTTACACTAAAATAGTGTAAACATCACATCAAACAATATTTTATCTCCAACAATTTACACCATTTTTATCACCAAAAAGGAATATTCTCTTTTTATTCTTTTTACTAACTTTTTACCATTATTCTATTTAAGTATCTAACTATCTTATATTTATACATTAGCCCCTCATTTAATATTTTGACATTTCACACATTATTTCACACATACAAACTAAAATACATCATTTTAATATGTATTTTCACGCATTTCACCAATTTAAACACAATAATCAATATTTCACAAATACAAGCTAAAACCACATAAAATTAAACATTACAATAATATTATAATAATTTGTACGTCATTAGTAAAGTACTACTTAAACTTAAAGCAATAGATTAAATAAATATTCTTAGTTTAGTTATTAGAATTTGAGAATTGTTCCCACAAATGATCATATAAAGCATTGCGGAGCTCAATATGAGCGTCTTTGTCGTGAATTTGGTTATGTCGGCTAAGAAATTGAGTGAACCGTGCCGCCTCATCAACTGCCACTTCAACATCTGGAACTGATGTATCTCTCACATCTTCAACTGGTGCATGTATATCACGTTATTAATTGTAATTTTAATTATGTTATTTTCTTAAGTACCATTTGTTTTCTGTTATTATGTTGTTTGGATTTGAAACTTTATTTATAATATTGTGTGATTTAAATGTTATTATATATTTTTATATCAAATTAATAGTTTTTATTGTTGTTGTATAAGGACGGTTTTACTTGGACTGTAATTTGTTTCAGATCAGATCAAACCGGATTAGACCAAACTTGGGTAGTTATAAAAATACAAAGAAATCAGACCAGACCACATCAATTCAGACCAAACCAGACCAAATCAGACCAGACCAACAAATTTCAGTCCAAGTAAAACTTCCTAATTTGTTGTTTTAAAAATGGGTCAAAACTATAATAATCAAAACTTTGGGTCACATTTGAAAGAAAAAAAATTACAAAAAGAGAATGGTGCTACAAATGGTGTACGCCATATATGGCGTAAAGCCTTCCCCCTCCCCCGTTTTGGTGTAATGGTGTAAAGTTTGGTGTCATTGTTGGAGCATTTTTTTTTGCCAAATACACCATTTTGGTGTTGAAGATGGTGCTTGTTGGAGATGACCTTAGCCCTCCAAAATATGACCGGAATGAGTGGTTCTGGACCTCTAGTTTCTTTTTTTTTTTTTTACAAAAGTCAGCTAAAAATATGAATTGCACGGAAACTTATTTTCTTGTTTAAGGTTCCGGTTTCTCCCTATCTCTACCGGAACTGGATCTGAACCCTAATAATCAATGAGACTGTAGGATATAGGGTCCTTTAGAATGTGCAAAAAAATGCAGGGGTATTAAAGTTATAAGGAATGGATGGGGATTGGATAAGCAATTAAGAGCATCTCCAATGGGGTAGTGGATTGAAGTAAAATCTATCCTACGTGGCATAGGAGAGAGATAGAGATAGGATGATTATTTTAATTTAATATGAAGAAAGTGGTGTGTGTGAAAAATGAAAAGGAAGAGAGAGATAGGAGTAAATTGTAGACAATGTCTATGACAATGTCCACAAATAGACATTACACGGGAATCGATGAGCAAAAGTGGATGAAAAGTGGGTTGGAAGTGATATAAAAAAATGAAAATGAAAATAAATATGGAGATATGTAGGTCCTACACATAAAATTTGTGAGATAAAAAATGGGACCCGATTGTAAGAGTGTGTAAGAGAATAGACATCTCCATTGGAGATGCTCTAAGCAGTAAATGGATTAGTGGCTAGAAATAAAAACGGTTGTTAATAAACAACTTCCTGGCCATTCATCTTGTAGTTTATTTGTGTCCAATCCTTTAGCTTTTTATGGATTGTCTAGAAACAGGGAGTTGGATTTGAGAATTCTAAGTAATTTTCCTCATATTCATTACTACTGGAAGCGAGAGATTAACGATCTCAGGTATGTTGGCTCGTTATTCCTTCAATGCACTTTAATTTTGTGAATAATCAATGTCATGATAATAAATTCATTAATCATCCATTTTAAATCCAAATCTATCATTTACAATATGGGTGTAGATTTATTTCCTTTATGTTGCTCATGTTTACCTAGGAGGCTAGGAGTAAAGAAACTAACCTAGGCACCTAAGGCTAATGAGAAGCCTATTTAGAAAATAAGCTTAATTAAATAGCACATGTTCTATAGTATACCAATTTTTATTCTTAAAACATTAAACAAATCTTAAATAACGGGTAACTAATTGGTAGAATATCGAACCTAAATTTTTTTCTTACAATAAAAAACCAAAAGTCAAAACATATATGAAGTTCATTAAAAGATTCTGTACATACCAAGATAATATGTGTCTATACTTATCTGTGTATTATATATTGAATAATTGTATATATCTTTAAAAGTTCGTTTATAAGCAATTAAGTCAAACTCCATTGCACCATATATATTTTGATTTGCTAGTCTGTTCCATCCACTCATTATTAGTTAGAGCATAATAATATAAAGTTCGTGTATTTGAATATGCATTGGAGCTAATTATTTATATCAACTAGACTACCATCCTACTTAATCAAAGGAATAGTTTTTTTGCTGTTGAAGGAATCAAAGGAGTAGTTTAATAACTTATAATTGCGTTTCTTTGTATGTATTCGGCCAATGGGACATGGATTAACATCATTGTATGTCTATTATTACATGCCTTATCTTGCTTCAAAATTAGAACTTGGGCAAATTACAGGTTGTTCAAATTAAACATTTTGATTGTTGCAAATAATGGTCTTTCATTACTTTCGATTTGCTTCATTTTTTCTTCAAAAACTGAAATTTACGTGATAGTAAACGTATAACATGCTATGTTGCACGGAAACATAAAATCACGAGGAAACGGGAAAATAGAAATGTCATCTTTTACTTGAAAAACAATTGTTTGGAGAGTTTCCAAATAGTTTCCGTAGAGTTTTCGAAACGGAAACATATTCTTTCCCGAAAGTTTCCGTGCTACATAGATAACATGTGAAGATGGTCAGATTAATTCATTTATATGGCCATTATATTGTTCCCTCTTTAGAGCTCTTTTGTGAAGATTTGGAATGGGAGAGACAGAAGACAAAGTAGAGAAGCATGACGGTGCAGCAAAAGTTGAAGATGCGGAGAAGAAGAACGAGGAGAAGAAGAAAGATAAGCAAGAAGATGAAGGTGAGAAAGGACAAAAAAGTGGTGATAAAGAAAAGAAGAAGAAAGACAAGGGGGATAAGGATAAGAAGGATGGAAAAGAGAAGGAGAAGAATCCTCAAGACAAAAAAGACCCCACAAAATTGAAGCAAAAATTGGAGAAGATTGATGCAAAGATACAAGCAATGGTTGCTAAAAAAGAAGAAATTCTCAAGCTCCTTAATGAAGCGGAGAAGAGTACAGTGAATCCCAGTGGAGAAACAGGAGAAAATTCCAAATATTAGTAAAAACGTTACAGCTCTAATAACCAATTCAATCATGTATTATGTTAAATGGATACATGATTCTTTTGTCAATGTGTTAATAGTCATTGTGTTTTTAGTTGTTTTAGTCATGAGTCATTTGTAAAGAAAATAGAAAGTTGTCTCATACAAGTATGAGACTAAAACTTTATTAAAATACTTAAATAGGACCTGCTATATTTATTTTCCTTAGTAGGACCGCATTTGTCTGATTTTGAAACATACGGATTTTCACATACAATTTTGTCCCTCCTTAGTCAGCATTGGACTCTCAAGAAAACTATAATGGAAACAACATACAACAACAACAACATCCAAGCCTTAGTCCCAAAAGATATTGGAGTCGGCTAACATGAATCGATACATGATATCACCACCAAAAGGAAAAGAAAGAAAATAAAGATAAAAAAATAAGCTAATATAAAAAGATAATATAAAACGAGATGAATATACCTAAAAATGATAAAATAAAAAGGACAAAAATAATGTTTATATATATAAGGATAAAAAGAATAAAAAACAAGAAGAAAAAAGATTATGGGAAAAAATAATACGAGATCACTCCTCCACATGAATACCTGCCCTCCACCTTGCTCTCTCCAAAGCCATACCCTCATCCAACCCAAGAAGAAGCATATCACTTCGGACTCCCCTAACCCATGTCAGTTTGGGTCTTCCTCTCCCTCTCTTTCCTGCCTCTTCTCCACACATCTCAACACGTCTGACAGGTGCATCGCTCGGTCTTCTACGCACATGACCAAAACCACTGTAGGCGAGACTCCTGCATCTTGTCTTCAGTAGGTGCTACTCCCACCCTTTGTCTGATTTTCTCATTTCTCACGTGGTCCTTCCTAGTATGCCCACACATCCAACGCAACATGCGCATCTATGCCACATTCATCTTTTGAATGTGACATTGTTTCACCGCCCAACACTCTACGCCATACAGCATTGCAAGCCTAATTGCTGTCCTATAAAATTTACCCTTCAGTCTAGTCGGCATACCTCTATCACATAGAAATCCTGACGCACTCTTCCACTTCATCCACCTTGTTCTGATTCAATGGGATACATCTCCATCTAGTTCACCGTCCTTCTGAATTATACAGCCCAAGTAACATAACATATCACTGATCGGTATCTCCTTACCATCTAGAGTAATTCTACTATTACCACTGCTTCTACCTCCACCAAACTTGCACACCATGTACTCTGTTTTGCTCCGATTTAGTCCGAAACTCTTGTTCTCCAATGTTTGTCGCCATACTTCCAACTTTGCTTTAAGACCTGATTGTGTCTCATCAATCAATACAATATCGTCGGCAAACATCATGCACCACGGTATTTCGTCTTGAATTGACTTCATAAGTTCACCCATGACTATGGAAAATAAGAAAGGGCTCAGAGCCGATCCTTGGTGCACACCGATAGTAATAGGGAACTCCGCAGTCCTCCCTACATTAGTACGAACACTTGTAGTACAATCCTCATACATATCCATGATGATGCTGATATACTTGCGTGATATGCCTTTTCTAGTTAAGGCCCACCAAAGAACTTCTCGAGGTACCCTATTATAAGTCTTTTCTAAGTCAATGAACGCCAAATGCAGATCCTTGTGAGCGTCTCTATACTTCTCCATAAGCTGCCGAAGAAGGTGAATTGCCTCAGTTGTTGAGCGACCAGGCATAAAACCGAATTAATTCTCTGAAATCTTCACAATTCTTCGAAGTCTTTGCTCAATCACTCGCTCCCAAAGTTTCATGGTGTGACTCATAAGCTTAATCCCTCGATAGTTGGCACATTCTTGTACATCACCTTTATTCTTGAATAAGGGGATAAGAGTACTCTCCATCCAACTTGTCGGCATTTTGTTGTTTCTGCAAATCATGTTGAAGAAACTTGTTAACCACTCGACGCCTCTCTCTCCCAAACTTCTCCAAGCCTCGATCAGTATGCCATCTGGACCCACTACTTTCTTCCGCCCCATCTTCCTCAGAGCCTCCTTAACTTCCATTGTTTGGATCCTTCTCACAAAATCACGATTTACCATACAATCCGTTATGGTCAAATCACCGATATCTTGCGCTTTGTTCCCGTTGAATAGTGTATCAAAGTAAGACCTCCACCTCTCTTTTATCTCCCTGTCCTCCATTAGTACTCTTTGATCGACATCCTTCACACACTTAACTTTTCCTATATCTTGAGTCCTACGGTCATGAAGACGAGCAAGTCTGTAAATATCTTTTTCTCCTTCCTTAGAGTCCAATTTTGCATACAATTCCTTGTTCACTTTTCCTCTTGCTTCCTTTACAGCTTTCTTTGCTCTTCTTCTAGCCTCCTTGTACTCCTCTATGTTCTCGTCGCTCCAACTTTTGCCAAATTTCTTATAGCATTCCCTTTTGATCCTTATTGCTTGTTTCACCTCATCATTCCACCAAGATGTGTCCTTTTTTGGTGGTAGACTTCCTTTAGATTCTCCAAGTATCTCTTTCGCCACTTTGTTAAAGGTGGACTCGATTGATAATCACACATCATTCACTTTGTTAAATATAATGGAAACAACATACATTTACAAAATTACAATAATGCAAACGAGTGGACAACAATATAGAAGTAAATATTATTACTTGCAACACACACACACACACACACACACACACACACACACACACACACACACACACACACATATATATATATATATATAGAGAGAGAGAGAGAGTACTCCTGACCGGAACCGCCGTCCGGACGGCGGCGTTTGGCCGCCTTCCGGGTGGAATTTTTCGATGAAATTTTTATAACATGTTCTCCATCAAGTCTAGTTTATCCACAAAAACATTCAGCCAAAAACTCAATCTGGAAGGTCGTCAAATGATTTTTGCAAGTTAACTGGTCCGGAAAATACATATTCCGGACCAGTTAACTTGCAAAAATCATTTGACGACCTCCCCGAATGAGTTTTTTGCTGAAAATTTTTGTGGATAAACTAGACTTGATGAAGCACATGCCATAAAAATTTCATCAAAAAATGCCACCGGGAAGGCGGCCAAACGCCGCCGTTCGGACGGCGGTTCCTGTCCGGAATTCCGGACATGAACATTTGTGTGTGTGTGTGTATGTATGTATGTATATATATATATATATATATATATATATATATATATATATATATATATATAAGCACAGTTTGTACTTGATCTTTCCCCTATATATATATATATATATATATATATATATATATGTATGGAGCGGTTCTGATAGGAAAGGACTTTTAGAAGAGAAATGAGAATGCATTGGAGTTGTTGGATTGTATTATATTAAACTGAATTGTACATTTGGTGAACCTAAAATGTGCATTACGTGAAATTGAAATGTGCAGAATAAAAGGTAGAACTCAAACCTTCATTAGGTAAATTGAAATATGCAGAATAAAATGCAAAACAATGCCAATACATCGTACTTTTTATTCTGCACATTTCAGTTTGACCTGATGAACATTTCAGTTTCACTTAATGCATAATTCAACTTCACATAATGTCATTGTGTCGTAATCATTGTGTTGCACAGTTCAATTTCACCTAATGTACAATTCAGTTTCATCTCATGCACCTTCAATTTCACATAATATAATCTAATGGTTCAAATTCATTATCATTTCTCTCCTAAGGTCGTTTTCTCACTTGAACATATATGGAGCGGTTCCGGTGAGAAAGGACTCTCAGGAGAGAAAAATGTGAATGAATATGGAATTCTGAACTATTGGATTGTATTATGTGAAACTAAATTATGCATTTGATGAAAAATGAACTGTGTATTTGATGAAACTGAAATGTGCATTAAGTTAAATTGAAATGTGCAAAATCAAAGATAAAACTCAAATGCATACATGAAAGTGAAATGTGCAAAATAAAATACACAAAAATGCCATCACATAGTAGTTTTTATTGTGCACATTTCGATTTCACCTAATGAATTTTTAAATTTCACATAATGCACAATTCAAGTTCACATAATGTCATTCTGCCATACCTTTGGTGATGCACATTTTGAATTCACTTATGCACATTTATTTTCACAGAACGCAATCTCAATGTCAAGATATATTCTCACTAATTTTGCATTAATTGTTGTTGCCCCGACTTCCAAGTGTGTATATCATACAATTGATTGTACGACGCAAATCGTACAGTCAGTGACATTTTAAACATTTAGTTGAAAACCGCTACTTCTGATAATTGAACATCAATATACTTATATTGAGCATCACACATATTTTGTTGAGTATTTGGAGTCTAATATTCACCATTGTGATATTTGTTTCATATCTTCTAATTAACTTTCTTTTTCGTATTTTCTCTTTTATAAAAATTTCTTAAATGATCTATTATCAACCTTATCTAAATCTGGACGAATATGATGAGTCATATTTGGGTCAATGATTTTTATAATTCAAAATCTTATTCCATGTGTTTTGAAAAGTCAATATTTTTAAGTTAATAGCGAAAATTAAATTCTCATTATTGATAAATGATAATTAATTCAATCTTTTTTCGAAAGATAATTAATTCAAGGGCTAAAAGGCTATATAGCTTAAATAAATATGAGAAGACAAAATAATAACCTACATTATACCTTTTTAAGTATATAGCACTTTTGTAATCAATATGAGGCCACATAATAACCGTGCGTTTTTTTTTTTGAAAAAAATAACCGTGCGTTTTTATGTTCTTAAATAAGTTAATTAGGCTATTTGTTTAATTTATACAAATATATGACATAAATTTAACTACACCTATTTAAAGTTGTATATAGATGCAAATACTCCTTAAATTTCAATCTTAATAATTAAAATTTTAAATATACAGAAGTTCCACTATTTCTTTTAGAAAGATGTGGAATCCAAGTTAGAATGTAATCCTCCCTCTGTCCCTTATATACTTGCCAACTTTCTTTTTCTAGTTTTTACTAACTTTGCCGCTTTCTGTTTTTAAATAAATAATTTGTGGTTCATGTAAACTTTAACAAAGTTTTGAGAAACGGAGAGACAGAGGGTGTAATAAAATGTAATGCAGAAATTTACTTTGCAAATAGGAGGCACTAAGGAGGTGATAATTGATAATATTTCAAGAGTACTACATGTACACTTTTTGAAGATAACTTTACATACGTGAGACAAACGAGTGTACGAAAAGGTGTACGTCAAAAAATGAACACC